GGCAAGGGAGACATCAGGGATCCAGAGGTGTGAAGACAGAGGTGTGAAGGCAGCCCCTCAGCCCTGGGTCCACCCTCCTCTATCCATCCTGTGGGTGGATTTTGTTATTCTTTTCCCAGTTCCAACACTTAGGTATTTTTAATTTTTCTTTTTAAGTAACACAGGCTCAAAGCTTCCCACTTTTCCTCTAAGAACATCTTTAGCATCTCCCCCGGATTTTGAGAGGAAGCATTCTCCTTTTTTGTTATTTTCCAGAACACGTGAAGTCCAGAGTCTACTTTCTCTTGGACCCATCATTGCTCAGGGGGGCGCTTCTTAGCTCATGTTCTTGCTATGGATGCTCAGTCTTGATGGGTCCAACTTCAGGAATTTGTGATTAAAATGCTCCTTGTGGTGGAGATTTCATGACCATATTTCATAAATACTCCACTGGGTATAAGCAAAAGTCTTTAATTCTCTATGAGGCAGACCATTACATTCTTTCTTTCTTCTTCCCTGTCTGTAACAATAAAAGTAATAAAGCAAGCAAAATAAAAAGACCTTGCGCAGTGGCTCCAGTCTCTAGTATTAGCCACTTGGGAGGCTAACGCAAGAAATCAATTGAGCTCAAGACTTGGAGGCCAGTCCAGGCAGCACAGCAAGACCCTATCTCAAAAACAAACTAAATAAAAAACAAACCACTAACCTTAACTATTACTTCCTAGTTGCTTTCTTATATTGCCTCATTTAAGAAAAGGAAACCAAGGCCCAGGGAGGGTAAGTCAGGGCTGCTACAGACAATTCCAGAGGCACCTGTACACATAACTTTAGGACTCAGGAAGGAAAGGGCACATAAGGAGATCAAGAGTGAAACTGGGTCCAAGGGGCCATTGTCCCGTCAAGGATCCCCAAGGGCTGCCAGAGCAGGGGGACACATTGAACTGGATGCTAAAAATCTATTGGATGTCACTGGGATCATGGGGCTATGGCACCATGGGGCTGGGAGCTCCTGGAGTAGAGAAGGAAAGGAGGGAAGAGGGCTGATGGCAGGCAGGGGGACAGCTATACTCAGGGGCAGGAGACCCCTCAGGTCCTCACCCTTCATGTGAGGCAGAATCACGTGGACAATATGCCAACCTGCAGGTGCCTAACCTCCCCCAGCCACTCTAAGGCCCATCAATGTGGGAGGATGGCAGTTTCAGCATGTAGCAGTATGAAAACACAGAGGAGACTTCAGGGCAGCAGAGTGGTGGCCTCTGATGCTTGGGAGGCCGAGGGCCAAGTGTAAGGGCAGCATCCCAAGTTTGTTGAGCAAACACTCTAGCTGTGGGTTTTTTGGGCCCCTGAATCATTGGAACCATCAGGGCACTGTGTATTAAAGATGCCAGTCCCAGGTCCCAGTTCTGCCCTCTCTCCCTGTGGAATCACACCCTCCAGGTTATGCACAGGAATCTGTTTCTAACACACACCAAGATGATTTATGAGAGTCAGACAAGTCTGAAAAACCACCTTATCCCCAACTCACTGCACAGCCTTTTGTCTGCACTAGGAACTGAGCAGCCACTTCCCATGAGGGACACTCCGGATCTGTATCTCCAAGCAGCCAGTTTTTACCCAGAACCAAATGTGATCAATAGCATGAGGTTCTGTTCTAAAACAGAGAACGCCTACCCTTACATTCCTCTCACACTCTGAGAACCCCAGAATTACAGAAGCAACCAGAATGACCCAGACCATCCCCACGATAAAGGTCAACTATATCCACATGTAGGCTGAAATGAAAAGACATGACAAAAACCCCCAAAGATATGCAGTGGTCAGGCCAGGTTCCAACTAGGCTGGTGGGGGGCAGGGAGCACCTGACCACCCAGAACAATTGCCACTGTCTCCAATTTACTTCTGCCTAAAACCTTCCCAACTCCCTTCCTGTCCCAGCTCCAATGGTCCTGCACGGTGTGGAGGACCACTGTGAAGGATGGTAAGGTCAGTTAGTTGTGGGAATTAAGTTCTCCTAACAGCATGAAAACCACGCACTGGAGCCAGGTGTGGCGGCCGTATCTGTGATCACAGCACTAGGAAGGCAGAAGCTGGAACACTGAGTTGGCACCCTGTCTCAAAAAAAGGCTAAACAGGTTCTGGAATTCTTCCTAAAGGGTACCAAGGAAGATGGTAAGAGTCTGGAGTTAGGAAGTAGGTAGAAACGGGGAAAATACGTTCTGACTAGTTTGAGGGAGGGTCTCCCTGCAAGGGAAGCTTTCCCTCTCCTCCAGAAGGGAAATCTTCAGCAGTGGTGCTGCCCCAGGCTGGCCACCAGAACCTCCTGGGGACTTTGTCCATGACTGGCACCTCCTGAGTCAGGGCTAACTGTCTGGGGTGGGCCTGGGGGTCCCAGTGAGCTTAGTGGGCTGAGGGCTGAGGCTGGGTATCAACAACCTTAGCAGAAACAAAAGGCCAACATGGAATCTTAACCATGTCAACAACAGAAGAGAGAGACATAAACTAGACCTAAGGAGGGCTGGCCATAGGTAAACACCCAATACAAGTGCACCAGGAGGGTGGAGACCAGAGGAAGAGCCAGATCCATGCAAGAGGACAGTGGCACATGAAGGACCCTGAGGTACACAGAGGGGCTACAGGGAAGTTCCTGGGAGCAGTGCTCCCCTGGGGAGCCCCAGACCAGCAGCAGCAGCACCACGTGGAACTTGGGAGACATGAAAGTTTTCAGGCCCTCGCAGTCCTACTGGCACATGAGAACAACTGCCCTTCATTCCTGTCGAGAGGCTCTGTCCACACATCCAGGAAAGGAGAAATAAGCTGGAGTCTGGCTGAGTCCATGGGTTTTACCTGTTATTTGTACCAGAAAGGTCCCTTCCTTTCCAATCCATCTTCATGGGCCTGTCACTACCAAAACCAAGGCCAGCATGTGACATGTGAGTCACAGCAATCAGGACTCAGCGCAGCTTTTCAAAACACCACAGCACAGAACCCTGGAGCAAGGGCTATGTTCACATACATTTCAGCTCACTGTTCACTATTCTCTCCTGTGACTGGCATCTACTGAGTTTATTGAGAACTCTGATGCCTGAGATTCTACATGCTCTTCTTGTTCAATCTGCACCCTTCGGGCAGATCCACTGAGATCATAGCTCCAGGGTGTTCTCCACACGGTCTTTCTTCCATCCATTCACTCCTGGTGAATTTCCAGGCACACAAGGGGCGATTAGCTTTGGTAAAATTACTGGGCATACTTTTAGAAATTGCACACACAAAACCCCTATGAAAACAGGCATCAAACTTCTGTTAATACTTCCTAAGCACACTTTATAAACAGTGCCTGTATCAAAGGAAGCAGCTTGGAGTCCACAAATGAGCATGGCATGCCTGGGTTTCTCAGGGGTTTTCCAACAATCCTTTACTCCTGGCATCTTACAGATGCCTTCCAGCATGGGAAGAAAGAAGCCTGGGCTGAGGGTGGCACTTCTCACCAAGGGACAGTGAGTTGGAAATGGCATGCTTGGTGAAAACCTCCCAACATGCACCAAAGTAAATAAACAATGCAGCCTAGAGTTTCACAAATTTCAGGTAGAACGAAGTCAGATCTTAGGCCTCCCAGCTAGCCATTTAGTAGAAAGAGAAAGCAACTGTGAAATTGAAAAAAGAACTGCACAAAAGAGGATCAGTTAAAAAAGAAACAAACTTTAAAAAACATCTCTCAAAGCTGGGTGCCCATAAGTCATGCCTGTAATTCTAGCTACACAGGAGGCAGAGATCAGGAGAATCAAGGTTCAAAGCCAGCTCGGGCAAAGAGTTCACAAGACCCTAGCTCAAAAATACTCAAAAAGGGCTGCTAAGTGGCTCAAGTGATACAGCACGCCTGCCTACCAAGCATGAGGCCTTGAGTTCAACACCCCAGTACCACCAAAAAAGTAATTCTTTCAAATCAGAGCTCCTCAATCTGAGAATAGTCTGCACTTCATTTGCAGAACACGTACCTGTCAAGTGCCTCTTGACTCTGAGCGGGGCAACAGAGCCAACACAAAAATCCAGTGCTGTTGAGGAAGCTTTGGTAGAAATATGAATGTATACCTGCACAATGATGCCATTTTAAAGGATGAATAGGAATTTTCTAAGCAGAGAAGAAGAGAATTTGGTGTTCTAGGTACCAAGAAATAACAGCACAAATGAATGGCATTGCACAAAAGTGCCTATTAACCTGAGGAGTGACGAATAGCTCCACATACAGAATAGCTGTGCCCAAACTGTCACCCCAGTCCACCTTCACAACTTTTGCCATTGTCTGTCGATTTAACTACTTTTTCCTGATGTTTTTCTTCAGATCAATTTGTTTTTTGCACAGGGTCTCACTGTGCTTCCTAGACTTTTGAACTCCTGGGCATAAGTGAGCTTCCCTCTCAGCTTCCCAAGTGCTTGGGTTACAGGCATGAAACACTGTGGCCGGCTCAGGTTGTTTTTAAATTTTACTTCAGTCTCCTCAAATACAACAATATCCCGTTGATGTGCTACTTACATCCACCTTAGGTTCAAACACAACTGCACGCTGTTAAGTGAAAGGTGTTCCTTAACGGCCCTAGAGCCAAGTCCTGTACTCCAGCACCCCGGGAAATATGGGCTGGGCCTTATGGCCTGACTGCAGGTAAGATCTGCATTACTAGAAAAACAAATGCAAACACCAGAGGCAAAAGCAATTTTCATTAGCCTCTCTTCATCAGTGGGTCACAGTGTTATTTTCTGGGGACATCAGCATCCTTGCAAGGCCCTACCCCTGACATCTCAAGGTGCTGAGGTCCCCAGGCTGCTGGGAATTCACCCATCCAACTTTCATTTCCAATTTTAAAAACAGGCTCCAATAGTGCTTCAGTAATTTCTTATACAACCTCTTAGAAATTTAAATTTACACTTCACTGAACTTCAAGCCGAAACTGGGTCAGCCGGCATGACAGCTTCCATGGAGATTCACAGAGTGGCAAAGAGGAGGGTGAGGGGCAGCAACTTGTTCTTACCTCCGTGCACAAAGCCGTGCAGGGTACAGTCTGAAGGCCCCACCAGGTGGATCAGGCTGGATTGGCTGTAGCTCACCGTGTTTGGCTCTGGAAAGACAAAGGAGAAAGATTAACCATGAGGCAGATCACTTCCACTGCCCCAGTGTCTGCCGTAACTTGGATAGGATTTCTCTAAGGAGAACCAATGCCTCTGTCAGTGGCTCAAGACATGGTCTCTGGGGACATGACACCTGCAAGGCCCTGCCCATGGGCTGCCACTGAACACCTTCCTCAAGGTCCTTACACAGGCAACCACTGAACACCTCTTGACTAAAGGAACTCCCCTGGGGTGTCATCACCAACTTAACTTGCTTTCCAACTTTATTAAAAGTCTCAATAGCGCTTCTGATCCTGAACTGGTCCAGGAAGGTTCAGCTCTGGAAGGTGTCTAGACTCCTGCCTCCCACCAGACCAACCCTCCTGCCACCCAGGCCTCCACTCCAGCGGCTGTCACCACAAATCTTCCAAGAGTAGCAAATCCCTCAGCAAAGCTCTAGCTCCTCCACACTGCTTCCCAAGTATCCATGAGAGGTGGTACTAAGACAACAAATGATGTCCTGTGACTAGTGGGCAGGCGCCATTCCTCCACATTCTCTTTCCTCAGCAGGCAGAACCACAGATGTTGTACAATCCAGCACAGTGTACACATATCCCCTGCCCAAAGCCTCAATCAGGGATGAGCCCTCATCCATTTTAGGGCAGGAGATGAACCTGTGCTGTGCCCACCCCACCAGGCTTCAAACAATGGGCACACTTCCGTGCAGAGGTGTGGTGCATGTTTGGCCTTACACAGAAACACTTCTTAGCAGCAGAACGGCTGGTGGACGGAAGGTAGTCCTGACTGGGGACTAGGGTCTCCTAAGTGTCAACTGTCATCTCAGACTAAAATTCCTGCCAGTTATGGGCTGAAAGTATCCCTCCACCAGGCCTATGTCCTAACTTGTGATTTTGTTTGTTTTTTTATTTGTTTTTCAGTAGAAACAGGGCCTCGAGCTTGCCTGGCAAGCTCTCTATCACTTGAGTCACATCTCCAACTTTTTGCTTTTAATTATTTTCCAGACAGGGCCTCGCACTTTTTGTACAGGCCAAACTCAGACCGAAATTCCCCTATCTATGCCTCCTGCCTAGCTGAGATTACAGGCTCATACCACCACACCACCCTCGAGATAGTTGATCTTGACTGTCAACTTCATTGTACTGAGAGACACCTCAGGAATTAGTAAAGCACACTCTTGGATGTGTCTGCAAGGGTGTTTCCAGAGGACTGGTTCATGAGGCTCTGACCTATTCAATGGATCAATCCCTTGATGGATGCAAAACGTGAATGGACTATTGGGGAGGTGGTAGAATTGTGAAGGTGGGACCTAGGTTACTGGTGGCATGTCCTCCAGGGCTGTGTCCTGCCCTGGTTCTTCCTGTTACAGCTCCACTCTACTTCCTGGCTGCTATGACATAAACTGCTATTTGATCCAGGCCTTTCTCACTATGATGGACTGAAACCTCTGAAACTGACCAAAATAAACCTTTCCTCCCTTGTTTCTGTCAGATATTTGGTCACAAAAATGCAAAAGCCTGACTATAAATATTGTTAGTACCTCAGATGGGACTATATAGAGAGGGCCTTTAATGAGGTAATTAAGTTGAAGTGAGGTCATTAGGGTGGGGCCCAGTCCAACACAACTGATGTTCTTGAAAGAGAACAGAAAGATTATGACACAGCTTGTGTGCATAATCCACAAACCCAGAATGTCTGGAGGGCCCCAACCTTCCGACACCTGGCCTGGGACTTTGGCCTCCAAACTGTGGAACATAAAGTTCTGCTGTTTAGCCTCCTGGCAGGGGCACCTTGCTACCCAACCCTAGCAAACACACTCCCCACGTGGAAATTGGAAGTTGCATAGCTAGTTGTCAGGCAGCAAGAAATCCAGAACGCAGGTGACCTGGGCTTAAATATTTACTCCATGCTCAGAAGCATTTGCTTTGGAGGCTCACAGTTTGGAGCAATCTGAGACTCCGGTTTCAGAATCATGCGTGAGAAGTCCCAGCTCTGAGGGTCTCCACAGACAGACAGGACAAATCCAGGCACTTACATCCAAGAAGGGACTTGGGGACACCTGGAGCCAGGCCACAGCTCTGGCTCTTGAGTTTTCTGCCAGTCCACCTGTCAACTTCATTGTATTGAGAGACACCTCAGGAACTAGTAAAGCCCTGATCACAGGACTTTCTCACAACTGCCTGTCCTCTAATCGCCCCCCTCCCTGACACACACACACCCCAGCTTCATTCCTGGCCATCGTGTGTGACTATCAGCTACCATGTGAGGCCTCTCACTCCTTCCTTGACAATTAACAGGAACGACTCCTGGGCAAAAGCCCCAGGGTACTCCTTGATGTCTGCTGGATCTCAGTCAGCTCAGGTAACCTGTGACTTTGACCCAAAGGGAGAAATACATCTTATTTCTCAGCCACTACAGTGAGGCTCCCAGAACCTAGGACTCAAGACTGCCCTGGGCCTCAGGATAGCTACACATCTTGAAATGCTACAAGGGATGAGAAGCAAGACTCTACAAGAAGACCAGGATCCTGCCTCTCCAGGGCTCCCCATGGCTCCCCACACTGATCTCCCGCTGCTAAGGGAGATGCAGTTCACAGTCAGTGCAGTGAGAGCATAGGCAGCCAGGGCCACATTGTTCTGTTATAATGGTTAAAAATTAAGTCCTCTGTGATAGTTTAATGTTCATAGAACTTACATTGAGGATCTTTTAATAAATAGAAGCAACAAAATCTTCCAGGGCCCTCTTGCCTTAGCCATACCCCAACTCCCCACGGCTCGGTGGGGTCAGGCTGCATCTACTTCTTTCCCTTTTGCTTCCCAGCTCTTGGGGCAGGCACTTCCTGTAGACAAGGGAGTGCTAACCAGTTATACTCTGTGGCTGTTCCTGCATCCTCACATGGTCTGTCTTAGATGACTTAGGTGCAAGTCATGGAGATAGGGACCCAGCCACAGTTGCTAGTATGGCTTTAAATACTACACTGCTACCAGAAGGAAGATGCAGCCCAAATGGAAAGCTTTCTTACAGTCAAAGGGGACACTATTTGCAATCACCCTGGCCTAAAAGGCAGGACACTCTTGTCAGTCTAACCATCTGCCTACTGAGCTCAGTGCTGAGAGAAGTGGCTGAAAATAGTCAGAGTCATAGTGTGAGGTCTTATTTTTTTACTCTTAGCAAGAATGATAAGAAAGAAGCTCCAAAAAGAAGTGGACAGTTTATAAGCAGAGTGAGCAGAGTCCCAAAGATCTGAGGCATCACAGACTGGACATGCCTACTGCTTCCGGATCTGGGAACTGAGGGAGACTTTGAAACCAAAAGTCTATTAGGACTGAGCATTGTGTCAAACATCAGATGAATGCTGGATGCAGTGGTGTAATTCCAGCTTCTCAAGAGGAGGAAGCAGGAGGATTGTGAGTTTGAGGCTAATCCAGGCAAAGTTAGCAAGACCCTATCTCAAAAACAGAACATGAATGAAGGGGATGGGGGCATAGTTCAAGTGGCAGAGAGCTTGCCTAGCACGCAAGAGACCCTGGGTTCAATCCCCAGTACCATAAATAAACAAATAAATAAATAAATAAGAATCAAGGCCAGGTGCTGTTGGCTCACACCTGTAATTCTAGGTACTTGGGAGACTGAGAATGGGAGGGTCAAAGTTTGAGGCCAGCCTGGGCAAACACTTATTGAAACCCCATTTTTAAAGTGACCAGAGCGAAATGGACTCTATAGAGGTGTGTCTCAAGTGGTAGAGCATCTGCTTTGCAAGAGCAAAGCCCAGAGTTAAAACTCCAGTTCCACCAAAAAAATAAATAAAAGAATCAGGTGAAGAATGTGGTTTTAAGAGAGACAGTAGAGTTGGCTGAGCCTAGATGTGGTCACTGGAACTGACTAAAAGTCCACTAAGTCATAAGAGGACTGGAAAAACTCCTGATGGCTCAAGTCCTGAAGTAACTTCCAGTCTGCACATTCAGATAAGCAGGAGATGAACTTCGAGTCCCATTCTCCTGCACCCACTCAAGATGATGCCACACTAGATAACAGACAAGGAAGAACCTTCCACATGGCAGAGTTAGGGGCCCTGGAATCCCTCCCCAAGAGTGGAATCCAGATCCAATCAAGAACTGGTTCCCATAGCCTCAGCCTGAGATCCTGTAGAACTTGTCACTGTGTGGCTCAGCAGGTCCTGTGCACCTCTGGTTTTTCTATCCCACGCTTCTGCTCCCACCAAGCAATGGGAGCAAGCACAGTACCCGTATTTCTAATGTACAGGGTGCAGGAGAAGGAAGAGTTGCATCTAATCTCCATGGAGAAGACAACTCGTGGACCAGGATGCTATACCTAGGTCCATGTGGTGGCTGGGCAGGATCTCAGGTGGTCACCCTGGAGTCACAGTGTCTCCATATACAAAGAAGCTGAAATGTGAATGCAATGACTGGAGGTCAAGACCAGGCAAAGATGATCAACCAATGGCCAAGACTGCCATCTGTCTGTCCATTCCCTTCCTCCACCAGACATACATGCTTTCTGACATCCTCTGTAGGGGAATGGGGCCTGCACACACTTCCTGTCCTGCCCAGGCATGTGTGCTGCTTCCAGACCTGACCCACCCACCCTCAGGTTGGTGAGCTCTGCCCATGTGCCCTTTCCAGCTACTCTAAAGCTATTTGATAAAAGTAGCAAGTGGTAATTAGCTCTATTTAGCCTTCCACAATGCACCGTCAGTTCTTGGTACACATAGGTTCCTCATTCATGGAGTACCCAACCTCAAATCAAAAATATTTGAGGAAAAAAATCCCTGCATCTTTACTGAACATGTACGGTTATTTCCTCTTCCCATTATTCCCTAAATACTGTCACCTAACCAAGGAACACATCTCCACTATGCACAGTCTTTGAACCTGCACTTCTTAGGAAGGTCCCTAGGGGACTGCTGGACCAGGGTTCAGGAGGCTTAGCTGCAAATCCTCCTTTCCCAACCCCGTTCTACAAGCCAGAAGCTATTCTAAGTGCTCCATGTACATCACATCATCTTGACAACCCAGATTCAGTGGCTCCCTAATCTCTGTTTCCATCAAGGAAACTGAGGAACAGGGAAATTAACAGAGGCAGCAGAGTGGGGATTCAAAGCCAAGAATCCAAATCCAGGATCTTCCCTCCTCCTGATCCCAGCCGGCCTCCCTCCCTATAGCACATTTCCCCTAGACTACAGCTGGTGGGTCCAACACCATGGGCCTGGCCAGATGGCCAGAAACACCGGGGAGGTGATTCAGGACATGGTGGAGCCAGGATGGTCTGCCCATGCCTCTAGAGGATGCTCCAGGTGAACCTGCCTGGGGGCTTGGCTGGGTCCCCCAGGGAGGCAGATCCCAACCCACTGTACTGGCTGGGGTGGGGTGGGCTTGGAAGTGTCAATCCAGGGGCCAGGGATGGGGCAGCACTGGAACTCATCTGAGGCAAGGTTGACTTCACCACAAACCTGAAAGTCCTGGAAATGGAGGGTCATCAAGGTCAGAGTTCCTACAAGGTTAAAGCTGGGTAATCAACAGTCATGAACCTGAGAGCGCAAGGTAACTGTTTTCTCTTGTCAAATTGAGAAAATAATATGGCAAGGCAGCTTTTAAGGAACTGTCAGATTCCAAGAAAACACCTGAAGTTGCTAGGCAAAAATAGCTTGAATCCTGGTTCTGGTTTCAGAGGAAGATGGGGTGGGGCCAAAGGGTGGAGGGAGAGCAGAGGAGGAAGGGCCATCCTCAGGAGGGGGGCACCTATACTACTCTCTGGGGACCCTGATCCCCAAGCTACTCCTCCCTGGTGACACAGCTACCCTACCAGTCCTGATCCAAGAGGATGAGCAAGGGTCTGCCATGAAACTGAAGTTGGAAATGCAGATGTTCAGAAAGACAAAAGATGGGTACACAAACCCTGTGAGAAATGTTTAAGAGTCTGCATCTCAAATCTAACTAGCTGAGGAAAATACAGTTCCATGTCACATTAAACCAAAATTAAAAGCATGCACAAATCTACCAATGTCTTCAGATTCAAATGGAGCACTGGTGGCTCATGCCTGTAATCCTAGCTTCTTGGGAGGCTGAGATCCAGAAGATAGAGGTTCAAGGCCAGCCTAGGAAAAGAGTTTGCAACACCCCATTTCCAAAACTAACCAGAGTAAATGGACTGCAGGTTTGGCTCAAACAGCAGAAAGCCTACTTTGCAAGTATGAAGTCCTGATTCAAAGGTGTGTGAGGTGACGCAAACCTCTAGTCCCAACACTTGGGAAGTGGAGGCAGAAGGATCTCAAGTTTCAGGCTTAAACTGATTGAAAGCCTTGAGTAATTTCAGTTTTTCTGACTGTCAATCAATGCAGTAAACCAGGATCTAATCTGTGGTTCTCAAAGCCAGCAATGGGCTGGGGATGGTTCAATGGTAGAGTGCTTGCCAAAGATGTATGAGGCCCTGGGTGCCATCCTTGGCACTGGAGAAAAACTTCAAAGCCAGACACAGGCCATCATGTTGCCCCTCCCTCAGCCCCCTGTGGTCTGGCTCCCACCACAAGTTCTCCTCAGAAACTGCCCAGGAAAAGGTGGGCTCAGGCATCCACTGCACGTCACCCAGCACCTCCGCTTGGCTCTCCTCTAACCGTTGCTGGGCTGGACATGTCTCCTCTTCTGTCATGGATTCTGGGTCCACATGGGTAACCAGGAAACTTAACCACACCTGCAAAGGCTCTTTTCCCATATGAGGTCTCATTCACTTTCCAGAATTTGAATATGAATATATCTTGGGGGGTGGTGCACAGGGAGAAGACATGCCATCTTCTCTCACTGGTGACCACCTTGAGCCCTAGGCTGACACCTTCCTAAGACACCTCCTCATCACATCATCCCTCAGTCTCACTGCCTGCCCTGCCTGCTGAGCTCCCCTTCCCAAAGCAGAGCCTAGGGGCCTATGGTCACTGCTGCAGCATATGTCCCTGGCCTTGCAAGTGATAGGACCTGATGCTCTCAGTCCTCACAGGAGATGCCCAGCCTGTCTTCTGTATTACTGTCTTGGTAGACTCATTATTTATGTTTTATTTTTAAAAGACACATTCTGAGGGCTAGGGGCATGGCTCAAGTAGTAGAGCACCTGCCTAGCAAGCACCAAGTCTTGAGTTCAAAAAAAAAAAATCACTCCATTGGCGTTTTATCAAAGAATTCTATTACTATTGACTTTTCTCTCTCTTCCCATCCCTCCATCTTATACACCCCCCCCTTGAAAAGCAGATGTGAAAAGGAATTAACCTACAGTAAAGATTTTATTACACAGTCCTGCTGGCCTCAGTAACACCTGATATGCTTTGGATGGGCTTTGAGAGTGTGTCCTAATCCACACACTTACAAGGTCTCATCAACACCCTGCTTGACGAGAAATGTGGGCTGCAGCCAGGCAGGGGCACAGCCAGGACAATGTCCCAAGTCCACGTGAGCAGGAGCCAGAAGACCCCAGAGCAGAGTGTACAGCACAGGCACATGGGGCCAGCAGTGTGGAGAAAGAAGAAGAAGTATTGGGGCAGATCCCAGACCTTAGAGAAAGCCAAGTCAGGAACTCAAACACCCACCACATCCAGGATCCCTGAGGCACTGGGAGAAGCACAGTCAAACTGCTCGGGAGCATATGGAACCCAGCACAGAACATGCAGGTATCATGGAAGCCCAGGTCATATCCAGTGAGGCAGAGAAGCACAGAGTACATTCTATGTCACTACTAAAAATGTGATCGCTGTGCGTGCAGAAGGGGATAAGACCAACACACATTATCAAGAAGACCCTAAGGGCCAGTCCCTCCAGGAAGGCTCACCAAGTTCCTGGGAGTCAGATGCATGTCAAGACCCCTGCCCTGAAATGCATCAGAGAACCTGGGGGTCCCATATGGAAAGGCTGTTCTCAAGGGAAAATATCTTGCTATCTATTTGGCCTTTTCATGGACATTTTGTAAAGGCCTGAACTGCCCTGGCAAGAAAACAGAGGAACGGAAGGAACTAACTCCACAAGGAGAGCTGTGCAGGACAGAGCTGGCACCCACATGGTAAGACATCTCCTTGAGGGAGGGAGTGAAGAAATGGCACTGAAAACCTGCTGCTGTTTTGTCCACCCTTCCACCACCCCCTTTTTTTTTTTTCTTTTTTTTTTTTTGATGACTGGAAATCCTTTCAAAAATAAGCTCCTGAATAAACTCAGGAGAGACACATAACAAAACAAACACATCCTAAATAGGCAGTGTCCCTTTGCCTAAGCCATGGAGACCCTGTCATGGCCGTACCCACTCACAGAAGCACCCATGCCACCTCTCTCTACTAGCCATGCTACTGGGAAGGGCCTGCCTGTTTCCAGGTGAGACAAGGGACAAAATGCCTAGCTACTGAAGAGAGCACTGGATACCTAGGAGCCCAGAGGACAAATGACCACAAATTGGCACATTCCTATGGCCTGAGTCATAGGTGAGAAACAGTATCTGCTGTTAGGTATAGGGGATCCCAACCCCACCTTCTCTCCTCCCCCTCCACCATGGCTTTTACCTGGGTTAAGGACAGGCTGGACAATATCCCCATTTCTCCACTTGGTCTCCATGCGCTCCAGCTTCTGGGCTTCATACCGCTTCCGGCCCTCCTCCTCCTGCTCCTGCCGGGAATACTGTGGGAAAGAAAGCAGACAGGGAGTCAGGCCATAGCAGGGACACAGCCTGCCACCCTCGGTGGCACAGCATGGCCATGGTCTCCCAGGCTGAGGGCTGCAGGATGCCGGCTCCTGTGTTGCTTAGCATTTTGTAATTGGGACAATCTTGTTTTTCTGCTCACATGTCCTGGAACACACTCCAGGATTCCTGGACTGAACTGGCTGTTGCTGCCTTCTTGCTTGTCAGGGCAGAGTGCCCAAGGCTGCTGGGGCTTTGGGCAGTGGGGAGGGATGGTTGGTCCACATTTCCCAGGCTGCTGTCCCCTTGTTATAGACAAGATGAAAATCTCACGCAGTCTCCCTCCCCAGCATTTGGTTTAGATCCTTCCTGGAATCACTTTTATGCCTATGAATATATAAAAAGTTCTATCATGCTACATGTGGAGTTCAAATGTAATCATGTCTCATTATTTCCGTGCATCCATGTGACGTAATCTACATAAATGATCCATGGTATCTGGACATCCAGCTTGCTTCCCATTCTTTGCTATTAAAATAACATACTGATGATTCTTAGCCACTTCTTATCACTTTGCTCCTACCCCACTCCTAGATGTAAAGCTGCAGCATCCCAGGGCCACATGTGCCATCCTGGCCGACCCCTGGCCAAGTGCTAGGTGGCACCTTTTCAGGACACGTAGCCAGGGCTGAAAGGGCGCATAAGGCTCTCCTAATGGATCGCAGGGGTTTTGACCCAAGAAAGTGAAGTGTGAGTATGAAGTCTGCCGCACAAGCCAAGGCTCCTCAGCCCTGTGCACAAAAGGATGATGTTACAGAGAGGGTCATTCACCGCCTCCCAAGCCTACTGTCTGGCCCATGCAGGGGACATATCACACTCCCTCACACTCCCTCCTGATCCCGGGTCTTGGCCCCAGGATAGGTCTTAGGTCTGCTGTCCATCTTCGCCCAGTCACCCTCCCTTTCCACCAGAGTCCCTCAGCCTGGCCGTCCCTGCTGACTACACCTGATCACATTCCTTTTAGTCAGCTTCCCCTCCTGCCCCCCATTCACCTGGTCAGCATTGCTGGCTGAGCCCTCAGGGATCCTCTCTGCCCCAACTGAAGCTCCTCTGAGCTACACCAGTTCATTTCAGGGGGCAGTTTCAGGCCTCTCTGTGTTCCACTTTGTGGCTCAGTTCCACAACTGAGCAGTCCAGGCACCATCCTGGAGCTAATTATCCATGAAGGCTTCATATCAAGAAGCCTTCTTCAAAGGAGGCAGACAGGGAGCTGGGATAGTGGGAGAAGGTATTCAAAAGAAATAAGACAAACCAGGCATGGTGTGCACACCTGTGCTCCCAGCACTCAGGAGGCCGAGGCAGGAGAATTTCAAGTCTAGGCCAGCTAGGAATACATACTGAGTTCTAGGCCAGCCTAGGCTACATAGGGAGATCCAGTCTCCCCAAAAGAAAGAAAAAAAGCCAAGCAGGGTGTACCTAAAGCTACAGTGGGTAATCCCACCTTTTCCTCCATATGTAAACTGCTTTCTAAAGTCACCTCACCTGAAGTAGCAACAATAAAAGCTGAGTCTGTGCAATGCTACCCCAAAAATTGATGGCTAAGCTCTAGTGTCCTGACAAATGTTTTTTTACCACCCCCGCCCCCTGCAACGAGATGCCTTCTAAAGAGATTATTTTAGGGATGTAGCTCAGTGATAAGAGTGTTTGCCTAGCATGCATGAGGCCCTAGGTTCCATCCCCAGCACTGAAAATGAAGATGATTGATTAAAAAAAAAAAAAAAAAAAGAGCCCAGTCTCTCAATATCCAGCATGTTCATCAGAGCTCTATGGGCAGGTGGGGAGAATGACAGGGCCTGTGTGGGACCTGAGCTGCAGGAACAGAGAAGTCCAGCCTTTAAATCTGAGAACAAACAGCTGGAACACCTCAGTGAAAGGTTGGCTCCTCACCCCCATCTAGGGGGCTCGTCAGACCCAGCTGATCTGAAGCAGTGGACACCACGGACCAAATTCACAGTCTGTGAACCTCTTAATGCAAGCACATTCAGGCATTTGGAAGAAACATGTCTATGCCATAGCAGCCCTCCAGCCTCTCCAGGGAGGCATGGCCCCTCTGGTCATGCTGGTGGTCTCTTTCAAGCATCACGGGGCCACTTCCCTATAAGGCTGAGGAAGAAGGTGGAGAAAAGAGACAAAGCTGTACCCTAAGTGACACAGTCACACAGTCAGCAGTCACACAGTCCACAGTCAGCGGCCAGGTTTCCTCCAGGGAGATACACACATCCATGAAATAATCCACGTGTGCATGAGTGTGTTGGCAGTATCTATACCTATAGGTGTGTGATATCTGTGTGTATATACTACGTATGTATGCATCTGTAGACACAGAGCTGTATACTTCTAGAATAAATGACAACTATTTGTGAAAGCTTGGCAGGGGAATGCTGGGGACATCAGAAGCCTGGGGCCGGGCTCCCAGGAGATGCATACACAGGCCTCCCAGGTCCGCACACAGGCCACTGCTAAACCCTGCCAGTAAAAACAGCAGCCTGTGTTCCCAGTCAGCTGAGGGTTCCTGCTTCACAGACCCAGCCTGTGGAGGAACAGTTCAGCTCACCCCCCAAAGCAGCTGGGAACCACGGTCCTCCCTCACGAACCGTCTGCCTCAGCTGCATGGCCCCATTCCAACATACTCCTCTACAAAGTCAAGTTGGTATTTATGTTGCATCAACTCCACCACAAAGAGAAAGTGAGAAAGCTGTGGGGCTCCTCCAGGACATGGGGTCACAGCCATGGCTGGGCATGGGCATGTGGAGGGCCTGTGTCTACAGCGAGGGGACAGGACCCCAGGAATCTGGACCACCCATTCCTCCCCACTGTCCAAAGCCCCAGTGGCTTTCAGCACCCTACCCTGACAATCAAAAGGCAGTAACAGCCTCGTGAAGGTGTCCCAGGATGCTGAAGCAAATATGGGGCCTGCCAGAGACTCGGAATTCCATCGCATCTGAAAATTAAATCAGGTAAACTGTGCAAGTATTTACACACAATGTAGCTGACTTGACGCCATGGCAGACAAGAGCTTGGCGGTGTTCTTGTGGCTGTCACAGGGCCGGAGTCACTCTCACTTCCAAGTGAAAACCCCAGTCACCCAAGCCAACAGGCAGGGAGAGAGGAGAACAGGCCAGGTGGCATGGAAGAGAGTGGGAAGATGAGGGTACAACTGGATTGATCAGGGTCCCTTGAAATTGATGTCACCTGGAGCCTCAGAATGTGAGCATTTTTGGAAACAGGCTTTTTGCAGAATTAGCTAAGGTGAGGTCACAGGAAGAGGAGTGGGTGCTAAATTCTTTTGACTGCCATCCTTCTAAGAAGACCATGAGAAGACACAGCAAGGACAAGAAGGTGAAGCAGGCAAAGATGGAAGCAATGGAGCCAACAGAGCTGGGAGGAGTCCAGGGCCAGTCCCTAAGCTTCTACCAAAAGCATGGCCATGGCCATACATAGATTTCAGATTCTCATCTTCAGAACTGTTAGGGAATAAACTGTTTCTTTTAAGCCATGCACCCTGTGGCACTTTGTTACAGCAGTTCCAGGTCCCTAACACAGGCAAGATGTGCAAGGCCACCTGGCCCTAGCCTGCATCCTTCTGCTCATACTGGGGAGTCAGAGTTGCCTAACATAGCCAAAGGCTGGAGGTGCCACCTCCCTACTTTCATGGACTAAAAGGGTAAAGTGGCCAGTCCGACAGGCCAAGGTTGAGATGCCTTTTTCAGGAAACAGGAGAAGACTCCCTGTTGCCAAAGTGTGCTTTAAAAAATCAAGACCAGCTGGGTATGGTGGTGTATATCTATAATCCCAGCACAGGAGGCAATGCAGGAAGATCACAAGTTCAAGGCCAACTCAGGAAGCAAAGGCAGGAGGATCATGAGTTTTGAGGCCAGACTGGGACACAGACCAAGTTCAAGGCCAGCCTAATCTACATAGTGATACCCTGTCTCAGTTTAAAAAAAAAAAATGGTTCCAGACCAGCCTTGGCTACATAGTGAGTTCGAGGCCAGAGCAGGCTACATAGCAAGCTTTTTCCTTAAAAAAAACATAGACTAAACTGCAACTGGATTCACCCAGTATGTGGGTCAAGCCTCCCAGTGCCAGTCAAATACTAGGTGGGACAGGGAGAGGTGACTGAAAGCCAGCCTCAAGGAATGTCCCTGCAGTGGCTGCAGGGACATTCCCCCCTCAGACCCAATAACCCAGGGCCATTGAAAAGGCAACAGACAGCTGGTAGTCAGAGAGCACACTTTCACCTGGGTGAGGCCCTGCACCTGTCAAACCCCATGTGAAGAAGGAAGGACACCTTGAAAGGAACCAGGGCTGTCGGCATGAGGAGCACTAGTTTCTCTGGCGGGTCTGTGAGCAAGAAAGCAGGCACCAGTCCCTGACAATCTGGTTCTCAGTCTATCATTTTAAAAAACATGTTTTACCTAAGTCCCCATGGCAGGAGAAGCTCCCTGCTGAACCACAGGGTCTCTACTCTTCCCTAGTATGTGAAAGCAGCAAGCACAGGTCAAGCCTCAGAGGAATCGGTCACAGCTGATCTTCAATCTCTACTGAAGCAGGAGTACAGGAGGCAGTGAGGGAGGGTTTCAGAGAATAAACAAAACCCTTTTGGAGCATTTGCCCCACAGGAATCTTCATGGCAGTGTCCATAGGCCTATTTACCAGAGCCTACCTGAGGCTAAACTCCAGGGACAAACACAGTGTACTCCTCTGTGATAAAGAACTTCTGCTCACAGCAAAACCAAAATGAGACACACTCAAAGGAGAAGGCAGATGCTAGCAAGGGCAGGAAGAAGAGAGCAAGGGTCTCACAGGAGCCACAATGAAAATCAGCTCTCAGGGGCTGTGATGGGGCAGCTGCCTGGCCAGGGCAGCCTGGTGGTCCTGGCTCTAGGAAGGACAAAGCACACATCATGGTCCAGTTACCATCCTCTTCTCTGGTGTAACACACCCTTCCACGTAGAAGGATGCCCTGTCCGTGGGTTCTGGGCAGCTGACACATCCCCAGTATGACTTGGACATGCATTAAGAGACCTCATGCAGAGAAACACCTCCCCAGCATTTCCTAGAGAGGGGATAAGAACCCTCCCCAATCCAGGGAGACCCTGCCAGGCCCAGAGACACCCTTCCTTTGGCCTGTTGCTCCTGAGACACTTTGCCTGGATGGACTTACTACCAACATTCACCCCAGCCTCTGCATTTGCTCCAAGAGGTAAGTGAAGGGCTGGTAGAGTGGCTCATGTGGTAGGGTGCCTGACTAGCAAGTACCAGGCCCTGAGTTCAACCCCCAAAACCACCAAAGAGAGTGAGAGTGAGAGAGAGAGAGAGAGAGAGAGAGAGAGAGAGACTAAGTGAAAGGGTCACCTTACCACAACAGGAGGCACCTCGAGGACCTTGTCCACGTTTTTCAGCGACAGGGGCACATACCACAAGGTGGCCTTATTGGTCAGCTTTTTGGTACCTTAAGAAAAGAAAACCATATTTGTGATGCCCTGGGGAGGGGCTGCACTGAACCTGTGCTACCACCAGATCTGGGTGCTCCAGGGACCTAAATGCCACCACCTCTGGACTCAAACCCCAAAGTCATTTTCAGTGTCTTGGCCTGGGGTAGCTGCCACCATGCAAGCAGAGACCACAGGGAACACAGAGAGAGGCTGGGTAGGACCCATCTTTGTCTCCAGGAGCCTGGGGACCTAGGACCTTGGCCACCTCCATGCTCCAGAGGATGCTTGAAGACCAGGTGCTTAAAGCCTGTGTAGTCTCGAGGCTGTGTGGCTTCCTAACACAGGGTCCATACCTGATGGTTTGTTTTGTTTTGTTTTTATTTCAGTGTTTCTGAACTCAGAGCCTTGTGGAGTTCAACATCCTTAGCTGAGAGGAGCAGGATCTCTGAAGATTCTCTGCACCTGTCTCAACACTGCAGAAACTCCCACCAGGGAGGAAGCCCAGAAAGCCAGGCAGCCACCACAGGGTGTACACTACTGCCAGCTCTACTGAGGGGTGGGGATGTGGAGGCTGTGCCCAGGCAGAGCAGCCTTGGAGAATGTCAACCACTGCCCAAACCACAGATACCAGGCAGCTCCTCAAACCCAGGACTGCCTCCTTAGGCATTCCCCCCGACCACTCCACACAGACCAGCCTTGGTGACTTAGCATAACTTCAGAATCCACTGGGGAACTGAGCCCAACCAGTGTGGCTCCCAGCTCAGGGAGGACTGTCTGGACTGGGGAATCATAGTTTATGGCCTGCAGGTGCCAAAGGAGTCCAGCAATCACTGGCCCATGCCCCTTACTTAAACAGGAGAAGCTTAGAAAGATCAAGGAATTTTTCCAAGGTTACATGGCAATTTGGTGCCCTGCTGAGTACAGAACCAGGCCTCTCAGGTCCCAGTCATTTTAGAATATTTGTTAGGATTCCTTTTTTTGTTACGGGGGGGAGGTAACTGGGGTTTGAACCCAGGGTCTCATACTTGCTAGGCAGGCACTCTACCACGTAAGCTACTCCACCAGCCCTATTTTGTGTTAGGTGTTTTTGAGACAGGTCTCAGGAACTAATTCCCCAGGGCTGCCTTTGAACCTTGATCCTCCTGATCTCTGCCTCCTGAGTAGCTAGGATTATAGGCGTGAGCCACCAGGGCCCACCTGCTAGGACATCTTTAAAAAGTGGCATCGAGGCTAAGCAGAGTGGCTCAATCCTACAATCCCAGCTATTTGGGAGATACAGATCAGGAGGATGGATGTTCAAAGACCAACCAGGGCAAACAGTTTTCCAGACTCCATCTCAACCGACAAGTAAGGCGTGGTGGAGCATTTCTGTCATTCCAGCTATGCAGGGAAGCACAAAGAAGATTGCAGTCCAGACAGCCCAGGCACATAAAGGGAGATCCTATCTCAAAAACAGCCAATGTAAAAAGGGATAGAGGGATGGCTCAAGCACTAGAATGCCTGCCTAGCAAGTTCAAGCCCCCAAGACTACCAAAAAAAAGGATGTCTACAACTCGGAAGATTTCCAGAGGAGAGTCAAACTGCAGGAGACAGCAGGACAGGACAGGGCACCCTCACTTCTGCCCCGGAGGAGCTTGGTCTGCCAGCTCCCTCTAACTTACTTTCCCAGCACGAAGCTGGGGTTTCCCTAAGGCTCCTGCTAAGCACAGCTGAGACTCAGGTCAACCCCTAAGGGGTCAGTTAAAGAGGCTGCAGGCTCCACCCTGCTCCAACTGCTCTAACACAGGCTCCCCCTGCCTGGGAACCCCAGGCACTCACTGTGGGAAAATATTTTCACTACGCTTTGACTGAGTGAATCTGACAACCTGCTTTTGGGAATAAAGATTTCGTGTTGGACTCAGCTGGAGCCAGGCTGATGAGCTGGTTTCCATGGAAACCCAAGTGGCCTGCTAGACCTAAATGAACACCACAGAGCAAAATGAGGCAAACATGCTAATTGCACGTTCTCCACCCTTTGAAGAAGCTGTAGCCAGAACTGTGGTATTAACAACTCTTCTTAAATCCGAAGCACCCCCAGCTATTCTCTGGGGCCTTGCAGTAATCACAGCCCCGTTAGCTTAATATTTTGACAGGTGCCAGAGACCAATGAGTGTCTCAAAGGAAAGGTTTGGAGGTCCTTTGCCTGGCCTGTGCTCACTCTCCAGCCACAGGATGATGGAAGGGCATATGAGGCCCCATGAACACAGAGAAAGAACCTGAAGACATTATGCCCAGTGTTGGGAATCAGCCTCGTCTGGCTGCAGCCCTGGGTGTGTCCCCTGTCCTTCCAGTCTCAGTGTCCCCATCTGTCAGAGGTCAGTCAGCCATTCAGTCAGGACTTGCTGAATGTCTACTATGTGCTGTGTGAGGTCAGGGTGGTATTAGGGTATTATGTGTACCTGGTGGCTACAAGACAGGCCTCTCAGGCCCACCTTCCAGTGGACACATGGGAAGGAGACAAACAAGGACAGAAAGGCCTGGAGGGAAATGGAGCCCACATGGGCTCAAAGTGTAGAAATAGACTACAGACCTGGAGATGAAGGAGGAAGAAGCCTGTAGTCACAGAATAAGGGAGGAAGAGTCCAGCCCTACAACAGTGGGCCCTGGGGCAAGATAACCAAGATGGGGAGAAGAGCCAAGCTCTGAAACACAGGGAAGAAGCAGAACTAGGGAGAGAAGTGAAGAAAAGGACACAGCCCCACTGAGAAAAGCTATAAACACTGGCCCTCTAAGCCTCATAAAGGGGTAACAGCCATGTTCTAGGAAGGCAAAGGTCTGTGCAGTGCCCAGCATTGTCTCTGCACCCTAAGGCAGCCTCTTTCCTCCAGGAAGTCCAGGCCCTCTTTGCCCACAATCAAAGCAGGAGAAGGCCAAGGGCTGAGGGCTGGGGACACATGGGAAGGTAGAGAGGCATCCTACAGGTGGGGAGAGAAAGGGCTGGGCTGTTAACCCCTAAGTGTGAGGGATCCTTAAAATATGTCAGGTTATGTCATTCTGGCCAAAACCCTCTGTCAGCTTCTCTCCCTCAGCCTGGAAGCCCAGCTCCTCCTGATGACCTTGTCTACACCTTCATCAGGAAGAGGCTCAGGCAGATTCTAAGTGCCCCTGACCTATGGACAAGACCTCCTCTGCCATGAGGACTCGGGGCCCTGTCTATCCTGAAAGCCTGAGAATGCCTTCCTGTTCCTGCCTCTCTCCTCATCCACACACTGTGGTGCTGTTCTGGTCACCAGGCTTCTGTGGGTTTCAGTCTCCTGCGTTCCAGAAGGATGCTTCCAAGTCAGAGACAGGAAGGCAGGCCCTGCCTACTACTTCTAATGCCAAAGACTCCCACAGTGAAGGAACTGTGGCTGCTGGCTGACAAAATGGCCGGCTACAAACAGGCATGAAGACTAAGAGGTGCCAGAGAACAGCAGTCCCCCCTCCTCTGTATAGGGCAACAGGCACCCAGTTCAGCCCAGCAGAGGAAAGAATGCCACCCTGCACCAGCCTTTCCTTAGTGATGCACTCTCTCTTTTCCTGTACCACAACCTGAGACCAGCATCCAAGGGTCCCTCTGATGCCAGAGACACCTACTGCATCCAGGGCCCTGGCCACAGGCCATGGGCAAAGACACACTGACCACCACAACACCCCAGTGGCACTCAGACAAATTCTTCACTGCACTGTAGCTGGACTGATATAACCCATTCTAAATGCCAACCCTACCGAGGTCATCAGAGTGTTCCAGATGGATAACTGTGCTCCTGGCCCACGGAGGGACAGACCCAGAGATGGGTCTGTTAAACAGCCCTGAGCCAGCACTCAGCACGGCCAGTTCAGCCTCTACTCGGTCTGGGCTTGCAGGGAGGCCTGGAACCACAGGGACCCAGGGAGTGGGCCAGCAGGGTGTGACGAGGCCTGCCTTGCCCATCACCAGCCCAGATATAAAAAGAAGCATGAGAGTGTGTGAGAAGAAGCCTTGCTCTCCTGCAGAGCCCAGGGGGAAGAGGAGAGGGGTTTCCATGGTTACCACAGCCAAGGAGAATGTTTAGATGAACCAGAGCAAAGGTTCATCCAGCAGCTTCTATGGAAGTCTGGTTTCTGGCTAGCACAGGCAGTTTCCTCTGCAAAGCCAACATCTGCCATGCTCCAGAAGAACAAGTGGGCCACACCCTCCCCTGCCACAGAATAAGGCTCCATGGGAAGGCGGAGGGCCAGTGTGTGCATCCTACTCTGGCTGGGTGGTCTTGGGCTCACTGAGTATCCCCTAACCTGTCTATGCCCCATCTGCAAAATGCGGTAACAGAATAACCTGCATGCGGATTAGGGAGGTCATTTAGGGAACTGGCTGAGGACGAGTCAGCCCTCGGTGTACAAGCAAGGAGCACCTGAAAGTTATTACCTGTGAGGATGTTTTCGGACATCACGTTCACCTGAACTTCCACAGAGTGCTTGGAGGTATAGGTGATTTCAGCACTGACGTGAGCCACCTCGCCAATGCACATGGGCGACAGGAAGTCCGTGCGCTCCACTCGGGCCAGAGCAGCTACACAGCGCTCCTGCAAGAAACCAGAGAGGACCAGTCAGCCCAACCCAGTAAGTCCTCACCCAGAGGTGCTCCCTGTAAGCTGCCTTCCTTTGTTCTCCGCTGTGACAGTAGTGCAACTGTCAGCACACATTCCCAAGTGCGAAGGGACAGGAATGTGGAGAAGCCCAGGAACAGTCAGGAGCAGCTGCTGAGCAACTCTGAGCAGCGGTCACCAGTGGTTGTCTTCTAATTTTTCTCTAATAAATATGTATCACTTCATTACAAAATGTGGAAAAATATGTAATTACTCATGAGAAATTTGGGAAATAGAGAAAAGTAGGAAAAGGGCATCCTTTCCTTTCAAAGATAAGCAGTTATTAGGGCTGGAGATGTGGCTCAAGAGGTAGAGTGCCTGTTCTGCAAATGTGAAGCCCTAAGTTTAAACCCTAGTCCCACCCCCAGAAAGCAGTTACTCTCTGGTCTCTGGGACCTTTCCAGGCCTTTTCCTAAGAGTCAGGCTTTGATGGCTCAGTCCTTCTTTAGCATGGCTCTATTTTATAGTTTTCATCTTATGTGTACTTTCACGTTCTGACTCTTCTCACTCCACGGGGAAAACGATCTGCTGCAACACCTGTCATCAATATTCTTTAAATTATTTTTATTAGCATATATTAATTGTACAAAGGGGCTTTAATGTGATATTTCCATAGATGCATATAATGTGCTTTGATCGAATTCACTTTTCATCTTATGTGTACTTTCACGTTCTGACTCTTCTCACTCCACGGGGAAAACGATCTGCTGCAACACCTGTCATCAATATTCTTTAAATTATTTTTATTAGCATATATTAATTGTACAAAGGGGCTTTAATGTGATATTTCCATAGATGCATATAATGTGCTTTGATCGAATTCACCTCTTTATTACTCTTCATCCCCCCTTCAATCACTACTTTTTTATTTAAATTTTATTTTACTCCTCAAATAGATGACCATTCTCATGACTCAAAGTTTGAAAGGATCAAAGGACAACTGGTACCAGGTGTGCCTCCAGTCGCCTTGTCCCTAGCCACCCAGGCCCCCCCTTGTCTCCCTCGTAGTACATTGGAGATGGTCCTATAGGTCTGTTCAGGCTGCTATAACAAAACAACATATACTGGGTGGGTCACAAATAAGAGATCTATCTCTTACAGTTTTGTAGGCTGGAAACTCAAGAACTGGTAGCTCATGCCTGTAATCCTAGCTGGAGGATTGCAACTCAAGGCCGGCCTGGGCAAAAAAGTTCACAAGACCCCATCTCAACCAATGGCTGGGCTCAGAAGCACCTGTTATTCCAGCTATACAGGAAAGCACAAATAGGAGGATCACAGTCCAGGCCAACCCAGACATAAAGAGAGACCCTATCTCAAAAATAACCATTGCAAAAAGGGCTGGCAGGGTGGCTCAAGTGGTAGAGTGCCTACCTAGCAAGTGAGAGGCCTGAGTTCAACCCCAAGTGCCACCCAAACAAACAAAAAAGGCACAAGCAGATTTGGTGTCTGATGATGGGCTGCTTCCTGGCTCATAGAGGGAACCTTCCAGGTTCCTTATGTGGCAGAAGGGGCAAGAAGACTCTCTGGTGTCGCTTATTATAAAGGCACTAAGCTGGGCATGATGGCAGAAGGTGTAACTTCAGTTCTTGGGAGGCTGAGCCAGGAAGGTCAGCCTGAGCTACACAGCAAGACCCTGTCTCAAAAACCTAAAAATATTTGTTTGCCCTATAAATGTTCTTTTTATAGGAAAAATAAAATAAATAAATGAAAAAGCACTGAGCTTATTCATGAGAAGACCACCCTCATGACCTAATCACCTCCAACAGCTCCACCTTCTAGAACCATTTCCCTGAAGGTTAGGATTTCAACAGAGGAATTTGGGGATGTCACATTCATATCACAGCAGTACCTAAAGAGCTTCCTTATTCTTTTCATGAACTTCCACTGAAATTTATTTTACTGGCCAAGTAGAAGCCTCTCCTGGTGAGATATTGAGCCATCTCAGTTGCTGTTTGTCAACACCACTGTGATAGACCACCCTTCACAACACATCATTTTCTGCACCTGGGATTAGTCTCTCATCCAGGTGAACAAGATTTTTATATGCCCAAAGCATATATACATATATACATATATATTATATATGTAATATATATGTGTATATATATATACTTCCACTGGTATTATAAATCAACTTGTCTTATCTCTGTTAGCAGGATGGCAGACAGACTGCTTAGACAACGGCAACGGGCCTTCTTTTCCATGAGAATGTTTGGCACTTTATGACCTTCTACTTGAAACAAGCATCTTGGACATCGGCAGCATGGACTGAGGCCTTTGGGGCTGCCTCTGGGCTGAATGCGAGCACGGAGGCCACTGTGAGAACCTGACTGTGTCTCGACATACCTTTGACAAGGTCCAAGGCCTTGTGTGCAGAATGCAAACTGCCCAAAATCCTAGGGTGGGAGGTGACAGTCGGTCCAGCCTGTGTTGTACACAATTTTTCCCACCAGCTGCCTGCTGCCAGCTGAGGCACCAAGGCATTAGGGTTCGCCTGTCACCTGGCAAATGTGTGGATTCCTGGGCAGAGAACCTCAACCATGACTCTCCATGGCAATTCTCATCACACAGGCTAGGGACTCTGTGACAGTAGTGTCTGTCACTATAAACATGGCAAAGGCAAATCTCAGCAAGAAAACTAGCTAGGTGTGAAGTTGGGGCAAGTGGAAAAAGCTCTGGAACAGCCTGCAGGGGCAGGGGTGCTTCCCACTCTGATGGACGCATGGATCGGTGCCCCTCCCACCCACTGCACTGCCTACTGCAACAGAATGGGAATGCGGAGACGCTGCCCTCAAGTTCATTTGCGTGGCTATGGCACCACCCACTGGCAGAAGCTGGAAACACAAGGGCCATGCAGACCCAAGCACGCCAGGCAACGCCACGTCTTCAAACTACCCAAGCACTGTTGGCAAACCCAGGAGCAGAATGAAGCCAAGCATTCGTCCTTGGAGAGCGTTAAGCTAAATCCCAGTGTGGAGACGCTCACACAGACAACATGCACTTGTAAGCACTGGTGTGTTTGGATTGTAGTGGCCTTGCACTGAGGCTATCTATGCCTGAGCCACGCAGGACAGACACTTTGCCAGTCTGTCAGGAAACCAGCCTTACTCTGACCTCCAGTAGGGTGAGGGTCAGAGCATCTGCCCTGGAGCCTGGGTACCAGTTGAGGAGTGGCCATAAGTAAGCGAGGCGGCACATGGAGTGCTGCCCCAGCAGGGATGCAGTGTGAGGGGCAACACCTGATGAGGAGACACTGAGCTGAGACTCAAATGACTCAAAGTCAGGCAGGAGAGGTGGGAGCTACATATAGCAGCAGAGGGAAGGGCGGCAGGCCTGCAGTGGACCCAGAGGGTCTTCTCCCTTGAACCTAGGACACAAACAGAGGACTTTGAGCCGGAGGAAGATGCAGGACTCCCATCTGTGCCATCCTCAAGGATGGTCTACTCCAGCCTTCCCACAGCACCCAACAGGTCTGTCGATGGGACACTAGGAACACCGTGTCCACCTTCTCAGGTCAGAAGGCCACTTATGAACCTTGAACCTGGTTCTCTCCTGGTTCAAAACCAAGAACAGCAGGAACATTTGCCAGGCAGAGTCCCATCACAGCCTCCTTTCATTAGCACAAGACCCTGTAAAGAGCTGTTTTTAATTTGGCACAAGGAGGCCCAAGAGGTAGCTGAGCTAATGTGACTATGTATATAATGAGGACAGGTAGCCAGGATCAGGGTAGCTCTGACATTACTAGGAGTGGCTGTTTCCAGGACCTAGCACAGTGTTGGCCTGGCCAGCTTTCCAGAGCAGAGACTGGTGTGATCCAGAGGTCTACCATATGTCTGGAGAACAGTTGCACCTTAAACAGCTGCAGGTAATCTCTGTTCCCCCCACTCAGATGTGTCCTGCCACTCCCTGCTTCGAGCACTTAGGAGTTAAGGCAGCCGTGAGTGCTGGAAGGAGCCATGAGTGCTCTGTATCTGCCTCAGAAGTGCCCTCTGCCATGCTCCCCCAAAGCCACTGCATCACACTGCCTGCTGGGCACAGGTGCTATGGAAAACCATGGGATTGGGCTCCTGATTGCCCTGGGGCTTCAGGCTAGGTCAGCTTCAGAAAGAGAGTCCCAAAAAAATAGTCCTGGGTCCTGGGTTCAAATTCCAGCTCTGCCACTTACTAGCTCTGCAGCTTTGGGCAGCAGCACAATCTCTCTGTCTCCATTTTTCATAAATACAGACAACAAATGGCACCTGTGAGCTACTTTGAGGATTTGAGTGGACACAATGTGGAGAGAACTTCGTGCTTATGAAATGCCCAAGAGAGGGGGCATCTGTCTCTCTCAGACATATGGGGATTAGATGTGTTAACAACTGTGAACCAGGTCTGCAACCAGGAAGCCCAGAAAGGGCTAGTATCACTGTATCACTGCAGTCTCACAAGTCCCTGGGCTCCTATGGCCCCTGAGGCTGGTGGCAGCTCAGATGACACAACTCTGTGTGCCCTTTGGAAACCATGGATTTCTCTGGCCTCTGTTTCCTCACCTGTAAGAAGGAACAATGCTCTTCTCTGCCTCCACCCCTGCCCCAGCTGATGGAAAGATTACACCAGAGTAGGAAGAACAAGTGCATGGTGTTGGCAGTTAGGAGATCTCGTTAAACATGAGCTCTCTGTAGAATGACCATCCAGACCAGTTTCAAGTACTAAGTGAAACATCCACCAGGAGCCCATAGCATATACCCAGCCCAGTCCAGATTCGGAGCATCCAGTGGGATGAGGGAAGGGCCCTTCAGCTATCTGAGAAAGAGGAGCTCAGGCAGGAAGAAGAGCCCAAGAGGTAAGACCCACCACCTGCCTCCTCAGGCGGCACTGTTTCCTCACCTGTGCAATGGAGATAAGAGTCACAATGTTTCCTCACCTCCTAAGGACTACATGAGACAAGCTCAAAATAC